TCGAAATTGGCTATACCATTTTGCATTCCCACCAGCAAAGAATGAGCATTTTTGTCACTCTGCATCCTTGCCAGCAATTGGTATTGTCAACTTTTTGGATTTTAGCCATTCTAATAGGTATATAGTGGTATTTCGTTGTTTTAATTTGCATTTGCATTTCCCTAATGACAAATGATGTTGAATATCTTTTCAGATGCTTATTTGCCATCTGTATATTTTCTTTAGTGAGTTGCCTGTTCAGATGTTTTGCCCATTTTAAAAATTTGTTTGTTTGTTTTCTTATTATTGAGTTTTAAGAGTTCTTTGTATATTTTGGATACAAGTCCTTTATCAGATATGTGTTTTACAAATATTTTCTCCCAGCCTGTGGCTTGTCTTTTCATTCTCTTAACTGTCTTTTGCAGAGCAGAAGTTTTTAATTTTTATAAAGTTCAACTTGTTAATTTTTTCTTTCATGGGTCACGCTTTTGGTGTTCTGTATAAAAACTCATCACCAAACCCAAGGTCACGTAGATCTTTCTCGTATGTTTTCTTTTAGAAGCTTTAAAGTTTTGCATTTTACATTTAAGTTTATAATCCAGTTTGAGTTAATTTTTGTGAAAAGTGTAAGGTCTGTGTCTAGGTTCTTTTCTTTTATTATTTCTGATTATGGACATCCACTTGTTCCAGCACCATTTGTTGAAGAGATTATCCTCTCTCCATTGAATTGTTTTTGCTCTTGTGTTAATGATCAGTTGACTATATTTTTGTGGGTCTATTTCTGAACCCTCTATTCTGTTCCAGTGATCTATGTGTCTGTTCTTTGCCCAATACCGTGCTATCTGATTTACAACTAGTGTTTCTCTTTTTAAAATTATACTTGCAGATTTTTCTTTTTATACCTTCAAGAACAAGTTTTGAATTTCTTTGCTAATTCTAGCTCTTATCTTTATTATTTCTTTTCTTGAACTTCTTTTGTTATTGTTTTCTCTAGCTTCTTCAGCTAAATTAGTTAAGCTCATTTTATTTTCTCTTAAAATATGCGTCTTAGTCTGCTAGGACTGCCATAAAAATATACTGCAGACTGGGTGGCTTAAACAGCAGAAATTTATTTTCTCTTAGTTCTGGAGGTTAGAAGTCCAAGATCAATGTGCTGGAAAATTCATTTTTTGGTGACTATCTCTCTTCCTGGCTTGCAGATGGCCACCTTCTCCCTGGGTCCTCACATGACCTTTTCTCTGTGCACAAGGGGAGGAGGGGGGGATAAAGATATCTCTGGTGTCTCTTCTTCTTCTCATAAGGACACCAGTTCTATCAGATTAGGACCCCACCCAATGACCTCATTTAAGTTTAATTACCACTTTAAAGGCCCTGTCTTCAAATACAGCCACGTTGGGGGTTAGGGCTTCAACATATGAATTTTGGAGGGAGACAGTTCAGTTCATAATGATATATGATAAAAAGCATTGTTGCTATGAATTTATTTCTGAATATAGCCGTATCTCTATACTACATTTTTTGGTATGTGGTGTTGTCATTATTCTCTACAAGTTGTTATTCTTATTTCCTCATTGCTTTAATAGTTAATTAGAAAATGATGACACCTTGCCCTTGTTCTCCAGAATTTTTTATAAGCACTATATTTTAAAAGCTAATATAGAAATTTATGATATTGTGTCATTGTTTCGATATTTTGAGTTTATTGAAATTTTCTTTATTGTCTGATAGAGTGGTTCTCAATTGTAGGGGACATTTGAATATGTGCATTTTTGGTTGGCATATGATGTGGGGTGGGGGGAGGGCTTCTTCTAGTTCACAGGAGTGAGAGAGAACTTCTGGATCTCCTCCATGCCACAGACCAGCCATGGGAATTGTGTGTGTGTGTGTATGAGAGAGAGAGAGAGAGAGAGCGAGAGGGAAGGGGGAGAGAGAGAGAGAGAGACAGTGAGAGAGTGAGAGAATATTTCAGGCCCCACCTCCCTCTAAACATGCCACACCACCATTGCTGCTTTGCAGCTGTCATGGGGAGGTGTGGAGCATGTATGTGGAGTCTCCTCCCCGAGTTCCAGGTGTGTGGTGAGGCAGAGCCTGCTCTGCTCTGGGTTGCCCCATTCTCTTTGAGGATCTCTATCCAATTCCGGGATTTCACCTCCGAGGGGATGTGTGCCAGGGAGCAGCCTCACGCTTGTGTCACTTGCATATACTCTACACTCATCCCCTCTGATGCTCTTCTGGGTCCTTCCCTATTGTCTGAGATGGGCATTAAGTTCTTCCCTAGGTGGCAGGCAACAAATTACATCCTGCAATCTTCCTCTTTCAGGACTCTTATTAAAAATTGTGCTCAGTCCTTCAAGCTCTGGCTCTAGATGTCTGAAGTGAGATTTTTTTCTTTTTTTTTTAAAATAGGCCCACTCTGTTAGAGAACTTTTATTTTATTTATTTTTTAAAATTTTTTATTTATTTTTTTATTTTTTCCCCCAAAGCCCCAGTAGATAGTTGTATGTCATAACTGCACATCCTTCTAGTTGCTGTATGTGGGACACGGCCTCAACATGGCCGGTGAAGTGGTGCGTCGGTGCGCGCCTGGGATCCGAACCCCGCGCCACCAGCAGCGGAGTGCACGCACTTAACCGCTAAGCCACGGGGCCGGCCCGAGATTTTCTTTTTCCAGAAAGATGTTTGTAGTGAGGAGAGGACTTAAAAAAATTTCCTATTAAGTTTTTTGTTTTGACATAATTTCAGACTTAAAGTCTCAAGAAAAGTAGAAAGAATTCTCAAATACCCTTTACCCAAATTCTCCAGGTGTTAACGTTTTACCACACTTTCCTTTTCTTTTTCCATTTGTGTATACATATATATCTCCCCTTTGTCTCCCTCTCCACATGCTTGCACACATACACACACATACACACAAATCAGGAAATTAACATTGATACCATACTATTGTCTAATCTACAGACTTTATTCATTTTTGCCAATTGTCCCACTAAAATCCTTTATAGCAAAAGAAAATCCCAGATCATGTATTGCATTTAGCTGTCATGTCTCTTTAGTCATTCTTTGTGTTTTATGACACTGGCATTTTTGAAGACTATAGCCCTGTTATTTTGTAGACTGTTCCCCAGTTTGGGTTTGTTTATGTTTCCGCACGATTAAGTTCAGGTTATGCATTTTTGGCAGGAATCCCATAGAAGTATACTGTGTCCTTCTCCATGGATGATATCAGGAAGCACATGACGTTGATTGTCCCATTCTGGTGATGTTAACCTTGATGACTTGGTTAAAGTGGTATCTGCCAGGTTTCTCCACTGTCAAGTTACTATTTTTCCTTTTGTACTGAATATGTTATCTTGTAGGGAGATACCCGGAGGCTCTTATCTTGTTATTCTTCAGATTTTCACCCACTGTTTTTTTTTTTTTTTTTTTTTTTAACTGTAAGGAAGAGCTTTCTAAAGGAGGAGTTTTAGAATTCAGAAAATGCTTTTTTTTCCTCAAGGAGTTAAGCTCCTGCAATTGAATGCCTGACTTTCAAAACTCTTGTGTTTTAAACTCAAACTGAGCTATGAGGCCTTTGTTCTAGTCTGTACCCCCTGCTGTCTGAGGCAACAAATACTACTGAGACTATGGGTGAAGAGCCACAGATTCACAAGAATGATTTTAGCCTAGGACAAGGCCCTAGGTTTAAAATCTTCAAATAGTGTCTTGCTATAATAGTTTTTATTATTGCAAGTTTTCATATTTTTGTGTCTTTATGGGTGCTTTGGTGTATAATTGAATGAAATTGCTATTAAAAAGGAATTATGGGATCAAAAATAAATATATTACCACTTTAGGTATATGACATAACTTAAACTCTGAACAAAATATTGCCAAATTGCTGACTTGCTGAGCCTGCTATAATGAATATTTAAGACCCCTAATAATAATGGTTGTAAAAAAATTAAAATTTAAAAGAACTTTAAACCTTTTTGTCTTTTGAATAGCTTACCCCTCTCCCACCAAGGCTTACACCACTAATTTGCTAGATTAACTCATAAAATATTGTACAAGGATTAAAGTTGTAATGTCAATCCCAATGATGCTGTATTATTATGAGTTCCAAATTAAGGAGTTGGAATTGATGAATTTGTTTTTACTATCAGAAGTTGTATGTGTGGAATTGGGTGATGTTTGTCTGTTGGGGTGAAAATGTCTTCTGCCTGCTTCCTTTGTCTGTATCATCTCAGAGGGGCTATTTGAACCAGGTTTGTTTCAGAGATAGGTGGTGGGTCCTGTAATACCTTCAAGACTTGTCATGTTTTCTGAAGCAAAAACATTTCTGTGCCACAACCTGGCAGATTGTCTTATGTTAAGGCATAGAGAGAGAATTAAAAAAAAGGATGCTTACTTATGTTAGCAGTTTCTTGCAAATATACAATGTCTAAATAGGAGGACATAAAATAGATTACAGTAAAACAAGAAAGAGTTGAAAAACGTAATTTCCTAATTTCTTTATGCGTTTTAGCCCAAGAGAATAAATCACAAAAGAAAGCTAACTGCTGAGTCCCCTCAGTTTTCTTTTCAAATACATTCTTGTATCCTGTAGAATATATACATATAGAATCTATCTTGACCTTATATTTGAAATCATCACCTTGGGGATCTACAATAAAAAAGACAAACACAATTACAGTTAATCAGTGTACAGATTCTCTGTATTGTGAATGTTGGAATTTGGAGACATTATCTCAGGAGAGTTAATGTGATATTTTAGCACACGCCTCTACATCCTCTTTGCACAGAAGTTCTAGGGAACTGCTATTTGACTATCTTGATTTCTGCTGTTTGTTTCAGTGGCTTGTGTGTACAAAGATGATTATCATTTCTACCTGGATGTGACATTGTCTTAAGAAATACGTGTATGGAGGAGATTGAGGAATATTGCAGAGAATATAAAATCTTATTTTTTTAAACAATTGTTCATGTAGACAATTGCTTATTTATTTCGTGTGTCTTGAACAAGTGATTTTTTAAATCAATAGATCCTTCTTGCTATGAGCATGAAGACTCAGTGTTTTTCTCGGTGTTTCACACCCAAGTCCCTCCAGAAGAATATGAAAATCGTATACAGATTATCAATCAAGGTATGTTTTAATTTGTGTGATTACACATATTGTCACAAGAAAATGCTAGCTGTATACAGAAATATTTACAGATGAAATCATTTGATGTGGTTTAATCTAGAAGTGGTGGAAATAGGTGAGGTCCTAGATGAAACAAGATTGGTCATGAGTTAACCATTGTTGAAGTTAGTTGTTTAAGGTTCATTATACCATTATTTCTACTTTTGGATGCTTGAAATTTTAGATAATAAAGAGTTAAAGAAAAGCTGGCTGCAAGTAATGGAAACCTAGCTTTAGCGAAAAAGAAAATTTATGGAAAGAATCCTGGTGGTAGACAGCTTTCTTTGATGACCAAGAGCATATTCTGTGGTTAGTCATTGAGAGGGAGATTCAATTCCAAAATCCTGGAGAAGAGACCAACTGACCCAGCTTGGGTTAGATACCTACCTCTGGACCAACCAATTTGTCCAACCCAGCAAGTGTTGGGGTCAGTATAGGAACATGGCAGCCTCTTCTGTGGATCACCACCAGGACAGAGAGGAAAAGAGGACATTTCTAGTGAGACAATTCTGGCCAGACAATCCAATGTTTTTTCCTATAATTTATTAAAGGTATATCTTAAAGAAACTCTATTATAAATGGAGATGTGAATGCATTTAATTTGGGTTATTTTAATGTCGTATTGTCTAGGAATATATGAAACTTCAACTGAATGAATAAATCTCATATTTCAACTTAAAAGACTATATGCAACTTGGATTATGGGAAAAAGTTATATCTAAGGAGGCCACTCACCAAAAAAGTCATTCATACTTTAACTATTGGTAGTTGATTTAAAAAATAATTATGTTTGGGACGGCCCAGTGGCATAGTGGTTAAGTTCGCATGCTCTGCTTTGGTGGCCTGGGGATCACAGGTTCGGATCCTGGGCATGGACCTACACACCACTTATCAAGCCATGCTGTGGCAGGCATCCCCCATGTAAAGTAGAGGAAGATGGGCACGGATGTTTGCCCAGGGCCAATCTCCCTCAGCAAAAAGAAGAGGATTGGCAAAAGGTGTTAGCTCAGGGCTAATCTTCCTCAACAACAACAGCAGAAAATTATGTTATTGATTAAAAAATAAAACCTAATTATAAAGCACAGATTTATTTGCCTAGAAACTTATAACTTAAATTTGAGTAAAACTTTTTTTTACTGAAATTTATTTTTTGTTTGAAAAAAACTTAAATCCAGAGATCTTACTCTTTTCCTGGTTCTTTCCAGCTATTATTATCAAAATTTATTCTTTAATTTTTAAATTTGTATGCAATCTTTGGTAATTAGCTAGACATACACCAATTGGCTAGCTGCCTTAATCCTTTTTATTGAAGTAACCTCTCTTATAAAACAAAGGTAACTTTTAAGTAAACCTTGTCTGGATTGAGCTACTGGCTGGTGTTTTTACCTTTTGGACTCTAGTGTGGCAATTTGTCCTATTTTGTAGGATAGACTCCATTTGTCATTTAAAAAGACTCTTCTTGGGCTGGCCCCATGGCTTGGCGGTTGGGTGCGCGCGCTCGGCTGCTGGCGGCCGGGGTTCGGATCCGGGCGCGTGCCGACGCACCGCTTCTCTGGCCATGCTGGGGCCGGGTCCCACGTGCAGCGGCTGGAGGGATGTGGAACTGTGACATACAACTATCTACTGGGGCTTTGGGGGGAAAAATAAATAAATAAAGTTTAAAAAAAATAAAAAATAAAAAGACTCTTCTTTATGCATATTTTTAGAGCTTTAATGAAGAGTTCACATGATCTTGTTTTAAATGCTTTGAATGCGACTACAGTAAAAACAAGACATTTAATAAAGGGAATAAGAGTCCACAAGTATTTTTCTTACCTTGTTTTGAGCACTCGGGGTCTGAACAACTCAGAGGGTGACGTAAGCCTCTTTTGAAAGGTTGAGAAAAACTGACAAACTGAGATGGGCTCCCGGGCTTTGTGCGGATGGGATGTAGACCATCCAGGACATTTATGCCCAGAGCTTGGTTAAAGACGGGTTTGAACAGAAAGTTTATTGTTCAGAAAGGGTGATGGCAAATTAATAGAATAGTGGGAAATGACTCTAGTCTTTAGGGAAAGTTTTGTTTCATATAGAGACTAAAATAAAATATATTTTAAAGTCCCCATAACATCAGAGATTTCTCCTTCACATATATCACTTGAAGTTTTTTTCATATTTCCCGTGGAAATATGAAGGAATCAACAGCAAGAAGATTGGTACATGATAATGAATAACAAAAAAAGTTTTATGAGAACTTCATAGCAAATTGTGGTAGCACATTTATCTTTTTAAGAATAAATCTCCATATATATTGGGTTTCTGGAGCTGGAATTTAGAAGTTCTTCTATGTGTATTTTATTTCTTATATATTTTAATATATGCTTAAGGTAAAATTTTAGCATAATGGACAATTATAATTATGAAAAAATTTTGAACTTTTTTAATATTAGATTTTACCTATGATGTGGAAAGAAATGAGTCGTTGATCAAAGCAGAAAAGAAACCTTACTCAAATACAGAAAAGATTGAGCTCAGGGGTAAACACAGCCAGGATTTTATTAAACGAAACATTGAGGTACGTACTTAGAAATTTAGAAGCGAATGTCGGACTAAATGAGTTGTGTTCAGTATCTTTAAATATTTTTTTGACTATGATACATGTATATGTAATTGAAACAGTATATATAACTGAAAGAAAACTTTTATGAGCCAGTACTTTTAACTTCACTATTTTCTATTCCATCCTAACCTATCCTGTCATATCCTATCCTACCCCTTTTAAAAAATGCTAGCTGCGGGAGAAGGTCAAATACCGTATGATTTCCTTCATTAAGTAGTAGATAATAACAACAATAAACAAACACTTAGAGACAGAGATTGGATTGGGGGTTACCAGAAGGGAAGGGGGGAGGGAGGAGGG